TGGTGTGTCTTTTATTTTATTTAATCTTTCAAAGAACCAACTTTATATTTTCCAAGTATTTTCCATTTGTTTGAAGAGTAAGTGGTTGGAAAAAATTTTTTTTCCATTCTCTAGACTGACTTTTCACTCTGTTGATAGCTTCCTTTCCTGTGCAAAAGCTTTTAAATTTGATTTGATCTCATTAATCTCTTTGTATTAATGAAAGCTGAAAGCAAAAGTAGAAGCTGAGAAAACCTACAGGTAGACAGTTTTGTGAACTGTTTACAACTTCATTCCTAAATGAAGAAAACCATAGGATGACAGCTATTCTCACTCCTCTCTGTCAAGTCAGATGTAGGCCTATTTGTTTGGCTTTTTTCTTTTTGCTCTTGTTTGAACTCATATTTCTGAGAGTTCCAAGAATATAAATGAAATTAAATCCAGCAAGTGTCAAACTACTTAGATGAATAGAACATTCTCTCTCCTAAATATTGTTAATTCTTATAAAGTATCCAAAAAGAAACTCCTATAAAGAACAATAAAGAAATATCAAGAGAATACTTTATGCATTTTTGTTAGTGCACATTTGTGGTACATAATGATTACATTAGTTTTGGGTAGTTGATATATGTTCATGACACATCTTAATTTTTATATCCTCTTCCTCTCTCCTCCCTTCCCTCTTCTTCTATCTCTAGATCCCCTTCCCATTTGTTAAAGAACTAGCTTCTTCTTTCTACCTGTCTATCCCTTATTCTGCTCTTTGCAGCTCTCATATAACATAAACCATGGAGATTGAACCTCGTATGTCTGATTTATTTTATTTAATATTATGGACTCAAGAAGCATCCATTTTTCTACAAATGACTCAAATTTGTCTTTATGTTAGAGTAGTATGCTATTGTATATACATTTTCTTTATCAATTCACCTGCTCAGACATAAAATCCATATAGGCTTCTGTTCTGTTGTTGTTGTTGTTGTTTTGTGAGAAAGAGTCTTGCTCTGTAGTTCAGCCTGGTCTTGAACTCACTAGAAAGCCCAGACTGGCCTCAAAATCAGTGCAATCCTCCTGCCTTAGCCTCCCAAGTTCTGGGATTACAGACATGTGCCACCATTTTTAAGCTAACTAGAGGAAAATAGGAACATTATATACAGATGAATAAATATGTTAACACCTTTTTCCTAAATAAAGCAAGATAGGAGACAGTAAATGTTTACAGTGCATAAAGAAAAAAATAAATCCAAAAGGAAAACATTATAAAATTCTTTATGTAACAAAAAGACACTTCAAAAATGAAGGAAAAATGAAGATATTACTTTGAACAAACTGAAATGTTATGTTTAGAGTTTAGCATTAC